TGCCGGGCTCACACCGGGGCTCGCACCAGCACAGCGGTGCTCACCAGGTGATAGCCGTTGCTGCAGGCAGCAGCCTCGGTGTCCTGAGGCCCTGGCACAAGCAGGGATGTGCAGGCACTGCCTCAAAGCTCTGCCCTGCACGGGGGGGGGCTCGTGCCCATGCTCGACCTGCACCCCTGGGCTCTTGCTGGGGGCTGCTGTTTACCTGCTCAGCCCGGCTCCTGCCCCCCAACACCCCACTGCCTGGCTGGATGAGGCTGGGCTGGCCCAGCTGCCGTGGCCCCAGCAGGAACGTCGAAGCCACGGCTTTCCACGGGCTTGGAGCCTCCTCTGCCCCAGTGCCCCAGCCTGGGCGTCCCAGCATTCGGAAGACCCAGGCTCCTTCCTTGGACGTTTGGTTCCCTGTGCTAAGGCATCCTTCCCAGTGTTCCCCGATGCCGGCGCTTTCCCAAGCCTCCCCACACCCTCCCAGCAGCCCAGCCCCATGCATGCCCAGCGTGCCCGCTTGCCAATACCAGCTGCACCTAAGGGACTAATGCCCTTTATGGAGAGGCCACCGTGCCCCTTGGTGCCCCCACTGCTCGCCGGCTCCACCAGTGAATCCTATCATTTCACAGACGCGAGCCCTGGGAATGGGGCAGCATTGCTCCTGCTGCCCGCAGAGCCACCGCGCTCACGCCTGGGTTGGTGCTGGCAGGGCCCCGCTGCCAAGGTCCCTCTGGCACGACAGACGCAATGCACCCACATTCAGGAGTCCTGTCCGGGGCCGGCAGCAGGACCCGGGCAGGAGCTGGCGGCAGTGCTCGCCCCATCGGGAGAGCAGCCGGGGAGCCAAGTCACTGCCGTGACTCTGCAGATCCCTGGAGGAGCAAGGAGCCCGGGGTGCTCAGCCCCGGCACCCAGCGCTCGGCGTCCCACCCGGCCCCAGCTGCAAACCCCGGAGCTGTCCCGGCCCTGGGGCAGTGCAGGAAAATCTGGTTTCAAATGCACTTTCCTATTTCGACACTGGGCCCTGAGCAAGGGCGGCTGCAGGCCAGGGGCAGACAGGGGACGGGGGCGGTGGGAGCCGGCGGGGAAAAAACAGCCTGTGCCCGCTCTCCTAATTAGCCTGTCTTCTTTGTTAAACCATACCCCTCCACCGGCTGCCTGCAATGCTTTAAAGAATGATAGATACTAAATCTAATTTAATCTACTCATTCACCCATCACTATAGTACTAAAATAGGAATATACCTATAAAAAGAGCATCGCCAGGCAGTGTAGGCCTAAATTACAGCTATTGTGGGAAAACCAGCTTTGCAAAGCTAAAATTAATGTCAGTGTTTTCAATATATTAAAAAAAAGGAAAACATGTTTTTTGCGGCTTTAAAGCCTGTCCTCCGCCGTGCAAGCAAGGCGGCCGCTGCAGTGCGGGCACTCGGCCGGAGCCAGGAGCCGCCACGCCGGGTCTCGCATCCGTGCGACGTGCAAGCATGGGGAGAAACCAGGTTTGAAACAAACCCACTGCTGCAACACGCTACAATATTGCTCGGAATAGACTTGCTCCCTAAAAATATAATATGCTAAACTTGGCAGCAGCCCTTTTGGAAAGGAATTTTCCAAGCAGCCTTTTGCAGAGGCTGTTTCCCAGTGGGCCGGGCACTGCTCAGCTGAGCCTCCTGCGCTGCAGGCTGGGCAGCGTGGTGTGACCGCGGGCACCGGGGACGCCCCTGGTGAGGGGCACGTCGGGGGCAGCTCTGCGGCAGGTTTCAGCCCACCTGTACATCAACCTGTGCTCGTGTCCAGCCCCGTACGCACATCACTGCCTGCGCCCAGGTCTGCACCGTGCTCCAATGCTGATGCTGAGCCTCAGAGCCCGGGTCTGTTCCAGGTCAGCACCATGCCTCGTCCTGGAGCAATGAGCTGCTTGCTTATAATTACAGTGGTGACACTTTTTAAGCAGCAACCGATTCCTCTGTTAACGAAACGCAGCCACCAAAGTCTCCCTCTGCGCCCAGGTCCTCGCTGAGCAAGAGCTAAACATTACTGCCAAGCCCCACCGAAGGATGTGGTGCTCCCGCCTGCCCCGCCAGCATGGGCTGCTCCGCCATGGGTGTGCACGCACCCTCCCTCCGTCTGCTGTGCAGCCCCCTCCCGGCCCCCCGGGAGCCCCGCTCCTGCCCCGGCACTAGAGCGTGAGAGGGCAGGGGGCAATTCCTGCATGCAGCGTGGCTGCACCATGCAGAGTGCTGCGAACCACAGCTCCTGTGGCTAGGACTGGGGCGGCCGTGCAGCTGCGCGAGGGGAGCTGAGCTGAGCGAGCTGCAAGGCACCCGCAGCAGCTTGGATGAGCCATTCGCACCGCCAGAGCCCATTGGCAGCTGGATTCTCCATGGTGCTGGGCTAATCAAAATTTTGCAGACAACTTCATTTCTTGGTCATTCCTTCAAATACCAGCACTGTCGAAAATGCAGGGGCCGGGGAGCTACGAAACACGAATGGCCTCCTCAGGAACAAATACAGCAAACGCCAACAAGCTCCCTGCGGGGAGCGCACGTGCCCGAAGGGGATAAGGCCAGTTACTGTCCGCAGACCTCGTGGCCCCCCAGCTCTTGGCCCCCCTGGCCAGCCCAGGCTAGCCCAGCCAGACATGCATCCTGGCGCAGGAGGAGCCGGTGGCCAGCACGGGCCCCTGCAGCCGCGGGGCTCAGGCACCATCCGCGCGTATGTGCCCACCCCAGGTCTGATGCACAGACATCTGCCTCCCTATGTACACACACACTCCGGACAGGGAACCGTAACCCAGGGGATCTAAACCGAGCCCCCCACAGACCCCACGTCACAACACCTTTGGGGAGAGTCAGTTGAACCCCTCCAGGCATCTCTGGCCGCGCACAGGTGAGTCAAGCCGGCTGGCCAGAGGCGAGCTCCGTGGCGGGCACGTGCCCACAGGCAGAGGCAGCATCGCTCCCTGCCCACTCCTCTAGCACAGGGGTGCCGAAGGTGTGCACGTCCAAAATCCAGAGCGAACTCAGGGCTAAAACACCAGGTGCCAGGCAGGCCCATTGCTCAGCCGGGCAGGACGAGGAGCCCGGCGGCAGCACGTGCCCTGTGCCCCTTCCCCATGTGACGGCTGCCAGTGACATCCCCCTGCCTGATGCCTCATTGCGACACGCACCAGGAACACCCCGTCCCCAAGCGCTGGGCGCAGAACCTCAGCAAGGGACAAGCCCCAGGAAGAGGACAGAGATTTTGGCCTTCACTGCGCTCATTAGCTAGGTGAAAATCCAACTCCAAACCTCTTAATAAAACCCTCCTTCCTGGCTCACGAGTCCACACCTGCTGCCAAGGAGCAGGAGGCTTCTGGGAGAGTGGGGAGGAAGAGATGCTAAACACGACGGCCAAATTAAAACAAACAGAGTGATGGGGGAACCAGGAGCTGCTGGGTGGAGAGAGCCGCGCATCAGGGAAAAGCTTCTCCTTCCCAGGGACCCCAAACTCCACTTGTGCACAGCCCAGCTGGGCGCTGGCAGCAGGCAGCCCATGCCTGCCCGTAACACTGCCGGCCCCTTCTGCCTCCAGCCGCAGCCCCGGGATCCGGCAGGCCGCGCAGCCGGTCCATGCCGGAGCGCTCCACAGGGCGAGCGGCACAGCTGAGCCCCTCATGGCAGCCAGGGAACGAGGGGATCCCGGCCGGAGAGGGAAATCTCCCACGCTGCTGCCCACTCCCAACAGAGGGTCCAGGCCCCGTACCAGCTGCCTGTTCAAAGCATCCATGCGCTCCCTTTAGAGGGACAGAAAACCTCCCCGGGGATGGGTGGGGGCTCAGGGACAGTTTCTGCTCAGCGTCAAACGTGCCTGGGCAGCCGAGCAGTGGCCATGGGGACCTCGGCGCAGCCTGGGGAAGCTGAGACCAAAATCCAGCCCAGCCCCAGCTCTCCCCAGCCTCTGCCTGCAGGAGGGTGCAATAAATCATGCACCCGTCTTGGCCGGCCTCTGCAGCAGCCCCCACGTGAGCCCCGGCCCCATGCGCACCCCGCGGCCGCCGCTGCACTTGTATAACCAGCAACAGCACCAGGTTTGCCAGCTCCAGCGTGCCGGATGGAGCGACCCTGGGCCTTGCCATCCCCACCGCCAGCGCGGCCACGCTCCGGCTGCAAGCCTGCTCAGACACAGGCTACACACATCCCGAGGAACTGAAACGCTCCCCAGCCCTTCCCTGCTTGGGGCAGGAGGGTTTGCGCCTGCGACCGCGTCGCCTGTCCTCGGCTGCCGGGTGAGCCGCACAGGCCATGCCGAGCGCCATGAGGATGCTATGAATTTTTAAACTCCTGAAAGCACAAATGGAGCAGTTTGCCTGGCTGGGAGACGGGATTTCCGACGCAGCAAAGAGGCTTTTGAAGAAAACACTGCCTCTCCCGAGCTGTGCTTCCCCCGGGATGACGAGCCCGGAAACCTGGTGCTCTGGGTCCAGCGCAGGACCAGCAGGGCAGCCCTGCGGGACAGCACGCCCTGGCCCAAAGTTAAGGACCAAACTGACGGCCTGGGCACCCTCTGGCCGGGCTGCCTGGTCCTGGGGCTTGCCTGGACCCACCGCCCCCCTGGGGTCCCTCTGCAGCACCTTCCTGTCGACAGCGAGACAAACCCACGCACGCTCGACCCCGCGGCCTGGCTGCAGACACACACGACGTGACGGCACACGCACACACACACATACGTGCACACACATGTGCATGCACAAGCTCATCACCTTCCCTTCTCCCTGGAGGCTGCTCAGGCCATGCAGAAGCCTCATTCCTTTATCCGAGCATCCATCATCGCCCCTCGCCTCTGCTGAACGGCAGCAGCGCCGAGGCAGGGAAAGCACTGGACCCGCGCTGGCGGCTCTGCCTGCCGCACTGCCCGCGTCTCAGCCCGCTGTCCAGCCCCGGTCGCGCTCCCAGCCACCTCAGCAGAGAAACCGGAGAAACCCCAAAGGAATCACAGCCGAGGATCATGAGCCACCACTGCAACACAACTCACCGGTGCCACGGGGCTGGTGCCGGAGAGGCCCCGCGGCTGGGGAGGAAGCAGTTAAGCTTTGACCCTCCACTGAGAGGGAACCGGCCAGAAACACGTGTGAACCGGAAAGCAAAAAAATCCCCCGGAGAGGGTGACTTACCTGTTGGAGGTAGAGGAAGGCTGGAGGACAGGGGAGAGAGTGAGGAAGCATGCCTGAGTTGGAGACAAGGAGGCAGCCCGAGTTAGCCATGGAGCACAGCATGTGTCGACAGGTAGCCGTGAAGCTGCTCGCGGGTCCGTCCTCTTCCGCACACCGCTATCCTCGTCTTCCCAGCTCGCCCCTCGGGCTCTCCCCTCCTCGGCCGTCCCTCCCGACCCCTCGGCGCTAGTTAGGAGGGATTCATCTGCGGCAGGCTGGCTGCGCTGCGCGCCCCGGGAGCAGCGCTCGCCTGTTCACTTCGGTGCCATTAGACACTGGCACTGAGCGCACGGTCTGCAAAGGGTGTGTGTGAGCCAGAGCGGGAGCGGGGAGAGAGAAAGGAAGGGGAGGAGGAAGGGAGAGAGGGCGAGGGAGCGAAATAAAAGGGGTGGGAGTTGGAGGAGGAGGGGGAGTCCCCTGTGCATTCAGACATCAAACAGAGCTCTGTATAAAATGAAGAGAATCCGTAATGACATGAGAACAGCTGATCCCGCACTTAACCCCTCCGCCGCCGCCGCTCGCAGATGGCTTCCCCGCCACCCGGGCAGCCCCGTCGCAGCCCCCGGCCACACGCTGCCGTGCCGCAGAAGCAGGCGGGCAGGATGGGGCCGAGCAGGCAGAACCGTCTCCCTTCCCGGCGCTGGCTCCCAAGGGAAGAAGGGTCTTACCGGGAGTTTCGGTGATGCAACACGGGTACCCCGGGAAGCCGTGCTGAGCAGCCGGCAGTTCCAGCCACGCAGCCCCCGCGATGGCAGCGCCTCGCCACCACGCCGGGCAGCTGCGGGACTCCCCCACGCACACACAGCCGGACACGTGCACACGCACCACGCTCTCCTCGGGAGACACACACGCAGACAGGGACAGCCGCGCTGGCAGGGACGGGCAGGGAGCCATGCAGCAGACCCAGCTCCGCCTCCCCGGAGAGGCACATACCTGCTCACGCCTGCAGCCCCGCAGCACGCATGGCCCCGGCAGCCACGCGCTGCGCTGCCACGGGCTCGCACCACGGCGGGCACGGCCGGCCGCAGGCCCTCCGCCTTCCCTGTGAGAGGAGCTGCGGCCGCAGCCTCGGCGCTGCCTGCACTCCCCGGTGGCTTGGCCCTGCCACCTGCCA